TTTTTTTTTTTTCCTTTCCTTTTTTTTTTCCTTTCCTTTTTTTTTTTCCTTTCCCCCTTTTTTTTTTCCTTGCGTTTCCCGATCTTCCCGTCCGGTCTGACCGAACGGCTCTAAATGTAAATGTTCCTTCTTTTTGTTGCCAATCATGAGCGTCTCTGCGCGTCACGTTGAACGTCATGAACATCTCTGTGCGTCATGAACGTCTTTGAATAAATTTGATTCTTTTCTTGTTGTCAGGCATGAACGTCTACGCGCTTCATGCTGAATCGTCATGAACATCTACGTGAATCATGACCTCCCGTTCGAGAATATCTCAAGAATCTCACTGCACAGTAAGCATGGTAATACGGCCGTACGACCGAACAACATATACAAGTATATACAATTACACACATATTTAACATTTCCCTTTTTTTTTTCATGACTACCGGCCGAAGCGGTAATAATAACCCTCGGCCTAGATTTATTTCTCCCCGTACTGGGTATAGTTGCCGTTCGGGCATTTAATGCCGAACAAGACCTTGAGTGGTCTTCAAATCAAAATACGTCATCGGGCCACGCCCTTGCGAGACGCTTTAGTCAATATCATTTGGGCCGAACGGGAGTGGACCAATCATTCAATTTAAAATGATGGTAAACTCATTACTAGAGCTTCGCTCAGTTATTATTTAACTCGGGATATTTTAACCCCTACTAAACAAATAATGGCGATGTGTAATTTACTACATCAAGTCATTCAATATTTTCATGGATGTCCGGCCTCACCGAGCGGGTCCAAAGATGCCTCGACCGCTAATTAAGGCTGATCGGGGTAAGCTCATGGCCCCCACTTCAACCAATCATTTTATTTAAAAATGACGGTGTACTTTAATCATTGGGGCCTCGTTCGGTATTATTTTGCTCGCTCAACTAATATCAACTAATACATGTCATCGGAGTAATGCCGCTCGGGGCACTTCGGTCGCTTTATTACAGTCTACCGGTAGGCCCACTAACCAATCATTTTCTTAAATGATGGTGAAATTCTCTCCCGAGCTTCGCTCGACTTTATTTTAGCTTCGAGACTTTTAGTCTCTCTAAATAATGGTGAAAACAAATGTTCCTAGAAGATACTGTTTGAAATTAAGTGAGAAAATTGTGGTACTTAGCTGGATAGGCTGATCTTCAGCTGCCAGACCAATTAATGGCCCGAAGAATTTAATTAGTCAAAGGTGATCCAGCCCAGCTAAACAACAAGGCATACTCCCATGGCAGATCAACGGTTGCCTCGGTAGGCCCAGATTCTTGAAGACTATTGATTTAGCCTAAGCTGCTCAGTGGCCCAGCTCTCTGCCTTAAAGTTTAGGAATATTTGGTATCGAGACTTCGAGCGGCCGTTCGAGACTTCAAGCTTCCTCGTTCAAGACTTCGTGCAGAACCGTGGAAGTGCCGACCGGGAACTTTCTGAACGGCGGAGATCCGAGCGGCGTGGTGCCGGCTGGCATTTTCATCGGAATCGACCGGGAGGGAGAACGATCCGCAACTCTATTGGACGGCTAAGATCGAACGGCGAGATGGTCAGTTGTCAGACCTGAACGGGAATGGTGGTGCAGTAAACCTCGACCAGGTCCCCAGAACGTCGGGCTTAGCCGGGTGATGTACGGTGGTAGGCAGGGGATTCGTAAATCGTAATGCCATCCCTTGGTGCTTTTGTTGTCCTGCCCCTCGGCGGATTCCGCCCTTTGTCATATGCTGCCCCTTCTTGAAATGCCCATCTGCTGTTCGGGAAGAACCCCGTTCGAGGTTACCAGCGTCCCTTCTTGAGATGCCCATCTGCCGTTCGGGAAAGCATTTCATCATTCAGGCAATCCTGTTACTATAGCCGTCTGAGTACCCTGTATCTGAGGTCATCTGTGCACAAGACTACAAGAGGCTACGAACCAGCTCTCCCTAGTTTCCTGGACGGGCCATTACTGGATAGAAATGACTTAGCCAGCGGCGTTTATTTGGCCTAGCGGCAAACCCGAACAAAAAGGGGTGGAGGCGTCGAGTGGCTGAACGGGAAGAGCGGTCTGGTTGCCTTGGAGGCCGATCGGGGACTTGGTACTGCTGCTAATTCCCAACAGGCAGCCACAGGCGTGGTCGTTCGGGAAATTCTCGTTCGGCATCTGGTATTCCATACTTGGATAACGGTGAATCTGTCACATCACCAAGTAGTGTTGTCAGGCCTCCTGGGAGTTGATAGCTAATCTTCTTATCTTATGTCAAGATAGTGGGCTGGTGGGTCCCAGTCATCCTTCAGTTTTCCCATGACAGTGTAGGAGCTTGCAATTTCTCCTGCAATCTTATCAATTACTCCGTATTCTTTCTTTTTCTTTGGGTGTGGCAGCAGTAATTTGAATCCACAACTATACGGGTGAATCGGATCTAGAATTCCTTCTCTGTTTTTGTTTTTCCAAGATTTGTTTCTTCTTTCCTTCATCTCTTTTTGAAATTAGTAGCTTTTGGTATCAAAAAATTTGCAGACTCATACCAGAAAATTTGCCGAGCATTAAGAACACATGAATCTTTCTGAAACGTTTCCCACAGACGGCGCCAATGTTGAGGTTTTGTCCCGTAGATCCGAAAGCCCAACATAAACTCTGGATATTAGGGACGATGGATTCGGTATAAAAGTGAATAATAAATATAAAAGGTGTATGAACTAGCTATTTTTACGTGGAAACCCGGAAAGGGAGAAAATCACGGGACTTTTTAGGCTAACGTCCAAGCCCGCTCTTTCTCATTAATATCCTCCCATCACTCATTTACATAGTATAAAGGTAGAGCTCCATTAATGGAGGTATGAACTAGTCTATCAAGAAGGAAAATAAGCAGGGAGGGAGGAGAGAGCTCCAAAAGAGAGATCCCTTAATTAGGAAGCTTCGCCTCCTATTTATAGAAGGGGAGGGGGGTTTTTAGGGCTATGCTAATGGGTCAATGGGCCTAAATGGGCCTAAATGGGCCGGTTGGGCCTAAATGATCCTTGCTAACTGGGCCCCGTATCGGGGCGGTGCTCTGAACAGTAGTAGGCCGGGGTAATATACCCAACAGGTACGGTTCGGTTCGGGACAAAAAAATTGAGATCCGTTTCAAACCCCATTTTTCGGTCCGGTACCATATCGGTTCAGTTCGGTACTATGCCGGTTCGGTATTTTTGCCCGCCCCTAGCTGGTTCTATCATCTATTATATGCGTAGTATTGTACGGTTCTCTGATAATGCCTAATGCACTAGGTAACACTACATGTAGACTTAATTAGCATAATAGCATTAGCATATATACCCGTTTTACGATAGTATATTCTTATACTATTACCTTTTTAGGTTACTTTTTTTTATCTTTTCTTTTTGCAATTATTAATTAATTAAGCAAACGTTTCAGTCAACATTTTTCACAAGCTTGAAGTGGGTGATAATTAAAATTATCTCTAGATCATATTCAAATTTTCACCTTTATCCTTTTTTTTTTGTTTTTTTTACCTCTATCCTTTTTTATATATAATTTCTTTGCAATAGAAATTACAACGTACAATTTTGAAATGCTTAAATAGAAATTAGATTAAATACTAATGTCCTTATATGTCTTTTTACAAGCAAACAGTTATTCTTAAACAGCTAATTTACCAAACATTTACTGACAACAAGCTAACATAATCAGCCAACAAAAACAGCTAAAACAACCAGCTGTCATTACCAGCTAACAGTTAACAGCTGATTGCCAAACAAAGCCATAACGGAATTAATATTTTCAAGATCATCTTCAAGATAAAAAAAAAGGTACCTATATCATACTTTGAGGCTATATGCAATAGAAGTATGTAAAATACTTTCTCCATTCCTAAAACTTTGAGGCTATTTGGCAAGACTGTTTTTCAAGAAACACGTACACTTTGTTTTCGCGTGCTGAATTGTGTAATAAGCAGAAAAAGTAAGCTTGGAATTCCTTTTCTGGCTATATTGGATGAAGTTACTGTAAATGACCATTTTAGCTATTTTACATATAATTTTTTCTTTATTTCATTAATAAAATATATTTTAGTTTTTTTAAATGTGCAGAATCAGGCAATGCAACTACTCCAGGCAGAACTTCATAAATTTCAGCACAATTAGCCAAATAAGCTAATTTCGTGCTACCAAACACGCTCTTTGTCAAAAAAAAATTGTTGTCCCACTAACTTTATCGTTTTCTCTTTTTAAGTAAAAAAATTATGATTCTTGTTAATTTCCCCCCATCTACACAACATCTATCACACAATTCATACTTTATTAATTTGTGTGTCGGTCAAACTTGACAAGGTTTTAAAGGATGGCGTGAATAAAAATTGTTTCCAGAACAAAACGTAATAGTTCTCTGTAAAGATATATGACCATTCGACGTGATCAGTTTTTACATAGATACTGCAGCGGGCTAGAATGCTCAACCTTGAATTAGAATACTTATTCATTATTTGCACCAAGCCACACAAAACGATTGGATTTTGTTATCTGTGTAACACATGGTCTTGGAAAATCATACTTTTCTTTTAATTTTTAATGTGAAAATCTAAAATTCAAAAGATTTTGGAAAAGTTAAATGGAATACCAAAGATGGAGAGAAAACAGTTCGGTGCATACATGATAATTGATAAATACAACCGCAAGATCAATAGACGGAAGTTGTGGACAATTATGACGGAAATAAAACGGCAAGAGTAAGTTTTTTCAAAGAATACACGTGATAAAGCATATTATATTATACAATCCAATAAAGTTAGATGATTACACCAACACATTTATTCTCCCTAAAATGCCTTAACCCTCATTCATAACCCTCATTCATGTTTATAAGATTTTAGATTAGGTAATGTTAAGGTCGGATTGGGGATAAGTAATCCATATTATTTATGGATTACTAGTGTTAACGTATTTCTACTGTTAATAGTAATACATTGGAGTGTACTACTAGGACAAGGTTTACTAGGTAGGCTGTCTTCCGGTCAGAGTGGTGATACTCCGTATATAATAAGTATAAGTACGGGTTAAAACGAAGTATTTTGTTGAGATTCTCTCTTCCCGATTCATTCTTCTTTCATAAACCGGATAGCTGCAGATGAATCTATCAATGGAAACAGTTTTTGATTTGTTGAATTGGGCACTAGAGAAGCTGAAACAAAAGATAATGGGTATTAGTCACGATGCGGCCAGGGAAATTGTAGACGAGCAGTATTATACTCCTCCGACTAGTCCCCGGCGGCGGCGGCGGCGGCGGAAAGAATTGCATCTTCATGAACATCATCACCCCAGGCTATTATTTCGGGAAGATATGTATCCCAGGCAAGGCGTGCTGTACAGCATCTCGGAAAGCCGTTCCTACAAGACCGATCTATCAGCATTCGTGAAAGACAAATACCTCATGGAAACCAACGGCGGCGGGGGAGGATGGTTGCTGGTACACGACTTGAAGAACACCAAACACGTCTTCCTTCTCAACGTCTATTCGCTCCATAAGGTGCAACTCCCCAAATTCGATTTACTCATTGATTTCGCCTGCCTTTCATTATCATCACCATCATCCACTTCTACTCCCGGCGCCGGCTTTGTCGCGGTGTATAACATAGACTCGTCCACGGTAGGGATTTGCAACGTGGGTGACAACAGCAGGTTTGTGGAAGGAAGGTTAGCGGATCCAATCGCATCGTTGGTGAGCATCGGCGGAAATCTGTATGGCATAATGGCTTGTTCCATACTCAATTTGGTGCGGGTTGTGGTTACTAAGGGAAATGCGAGGCTTGAACCGGTAGGTGAAATTCCCCGTCCCCTCAGCTTAATGTGCGGACGAAACGGTATTAAGGGCTACCAAGGCTTCCTAGCAGCAGAGAGTTGTGGCCGCCGCGGCGGGGTCATTGTGGTGGTCAAAGTTAGTCGTGGGCATGTGGACAGACCCCGGGGGCCCCCGCGCCCGGTGGAGTGTTTCCGGATTTTCACATTTGATTTCTGCACCAGTGAATGGGCAGAGTTGGATACCCTTGGTGGACGTACCCTTCTCTTGGGCTGTCATTTCTCCCTTCACATATGCCGCGATGTCCCCAATCTCAGAAGAAACTGCATTTACTTTGTTGAACGCGGAGACAAGAATCTCTACGTCTTTGATACGGAAGATAAACTCATCACTACCCATCTCCCTTACTCTGGGGACGACATTCAAACCAACCTCTTGTGCCCAACTTGGCTATTCTAATCTGCTATACATGATTCATTCTGTATGTTTAATGCTATCCTCATTCTTTTATTCTTTCTTTCTTTATAAGCATGTTTCTTTTCTAAAATCTTTACTTGATGTGAACGCTGAAACAATGCAGTGGTTGTAGGCCGCTTTATTCTTTTCCATTACTAGTGTGGATCTAATTGTATTCTCACCTTCCTAACACAGCTTAAAGTTAGCTTTTATCGTCCTGTTTTCCATTCTCGCCCATTTTAAAGAGAAGTATCATATCAAGCAAATGACCTCAACCAGAATGCAACTTGTCCTTACTGAACTATAGCCTCACAAATCCAAATTTATCATCAAGTTCAAGTTTATCCACTGTAAAATGCCTTCAATTCAATTCTCACCTTTGGGACATATGTGCTGCCTACCCACAAAAATGTTTGCAACCTCTCCCACAGTACATAAGTGTTAAATTCACAAACCCATAAGAACGACAATATATTGTTCAGACCTGAGCAAAAACTTTTAGATCTTTTACAAAAAACTATGATATTTATTTATGCAAAGAAGGATTTAGCTATTCAATATTTGAGTTGTCAATCTACTCATGAACATATAAGAAGATTAAAAATTATCTGTTTAGGTTTTATCTCAAAGATGTTATACATTTTTAGGGAAAACTGAAAAGAAAATCTAAACTCTTCAATTTGTATACATTTTCAGAATTTGTAATAAGTTTTAAACTTTCTAAATATCATTTAGTAATTTTTCATGAAGTATTTTATGATAAAACAAATTGCTAAATTTGTGATTTTCTGAACTTGCTAATAAAGTTATCATGAAGAACTATCAATTTAAAGAATTCACAATCCACACAGAAACCATAAATTGAGCTGCATATAATCTCCAAACCAGATTATACATATATTATCAATGAAGCAACTGTGCGTTTCACATCCCTTCTATGTAGTACTCCGTATAATAAATGAATCTCAGTCCCCTATTTGAAAATGTGTACAACCGCAGGTATCTTTTTGTAGTTATCCCTAAAACTATCTCGTCAAGTGATGCAATCATCGTTTGGTCAAGAGTTATCAGTCACATTAGCACAAACTATTTTTCATTATATTGTTGTTTAGTTAAGTATGTCACAGACTTGAGAGTACAAGTTCATTTTGATTAAAGTTAGTAATATACGATGACGACAAACGATCAATATAAATTGTGTGGGTGTTTTCTTCATGGCAACTGATTATAGTCTGCAATGTCCATAATAATTTTGTTGACTTGCATTATATGGTGTCTTATTTTTAATGTTATCATATTTTTTATTTAAATGTATTTACTACACTCCTGTGCAACACATGAGCGGATTTACTAGTCTTCTTTTAGTAAAAGTAACAACCAGAAGAATTTATGCATATGGTCCAATGAGATAAACTATATGTATGGCACTTCCCTTATTATGTGGAAGATAATGAAGTATTCAAACAGTATGACATAATAATCTTTATATGATACAATGAAAAAGAAATAAAGTGTTTTATTTGACAAATTCCAATTTATTAGATTTATTGAAGGAGTTTGACACAGTCAAGATAGGTCGAGAACAAGACGTATACATTCTGCCATATACTTCCAGTTGATATAATTACACAAGAGATCAGAAGCAAATTTGCAGGTAAACCTATTGTATATCCATAGAGGATGAGAGTGGCTACGTAAACATCCCATCTTTGAATTTTACTTCATAAATGGAAAGCCAACTGCACAAGGGAGGATGTGTTGAAACGAGCAATGAGCCTCCTCTGCCGAGCAGTTTCCTCCGGACAGCCTCTGAAAGTTTTTGGGTTAAGATATGGAACTTTGAATTTTGCGGGCGAGGTCCTCGACTGTTCCATATCAACTTCCCTCAACCATGGAATTCATTTATTCCACTGCCCAGATCCGTGGGAACATTCTTAATGTTGATGTCTTCATGCCGGAAGACAGTGGCGGAGCCAGGAATGGCAGGTTAGGGAGGCCCGGGCTTAAAAATTTTATTTATCGGGAGCCAAAGCTTAAATTTCACCATTTTTTTACTAATAAATATTTACATCACAATTTTTTGTTGCAGGGGCCTCGGCTTCACCTGTCTCCACCCCTGCCGGAAGATAAGCATGTTTTTCACTCAAGAAGTGAATTTGTGTTTAATCCTGCTAAATGGTCACGTGTCAAAATGGATGAGGATTTCCTAAAGCTTTCAAGAACGTTCAAATCAATGATATCTATTGTTCGAGTGCCTTCTTCGGATCCAAATTATAAGATTGCAGTTCTTGCATCAAAGCAGGACCACTGTCTTGTAGATTTATTGCATGGGTAGCAGGATGGAACACTTCCTGTTCAGATAACTTCTGTAATTAGTAATCATGATAGAAGTCCAAACACCTACGTGATTCGATTTCTTGAAAGGCATGGAATTCCATATCATCATTTGGAGACTACTAATCATCCTACAACATTTCAATCTCTTCTTGCGTAGTATTTATTTTAGTTGAATTGAGAAACTGGATTCTATCTGGTTATGTATTTATAAGAACTCTCTATAGTTTGTGTGAGGAACTTGATGCAAGAATCAACTTCCATTTCCTTCCATTCACGATTCATCATCCTTGTCTATGTGATATCTTACATAAACAGTTTAGTTCCCCAAAAGTATTGCCCCAACCGATCTGTAGGACTTCTAAAGTAAAGCATGAATTGAGCCTAAATTCCGGTAATCTTTCGTTTATTTACTGTACGTTTTTCTCTCTATTTCAGTTTCATCAGAACTAATTCAAACAACAAAGACATTCAAGCCTTAATAACAAAAGAGTTTTGGTCTGAACTAATCAATTAACTATATACAAAACTATTTTTGTTGGTCTTTTTTTTATTATCTTTGTCCATGAATGATAACTCCACGAGTTATTCTCTTTCAAAAAAAATCCAGGAGTTGTTCTATTTTTTATCACCGTCCAGAACTAATCAGACAGTGTCTTTATTCATGGTAGTTGGGAGCTTCTAAATCTACTCCACATCTAGAGTGTAGAATGATTTCAATTCATGTTTTACCATTGAGATGATTGTCTATCACTATATCAATATATCGAGACCCAATAAGTAGCAGATTGGCAATAATTAAGACCCTAAGGAAAGTATATACTCCTTTTGATCATTAATACTAATAATTTGAGATGAATCTACATAAATGATAAACCACTAAAAGTAATTGAATTACTTACTAAAAGTAATTGAATTACTTAATAATTTCCTAAATGTACTACTCCTATATAGTATATACCCCTCTTGAACCGTCATTTTCTTGTTAACGACATCAAAAGCTAACATGTACTCAAAGTCTTTAGTAAATGTTTTTTCATGATATGAATACTTCAGGATCGGAGCTTATTCATGGCATATACTCTAGGATGTTGTTAAGCATAAAAATTTGTATATACACTTCTTTCAGTTCTTTGCCATGATGGAATGGTGTTATGATATACCCTGCTAGCACTAATCTGGACAAAGTAGGAGCTATTTTTCTACTCTAGATTTCTAGTCTCGTGTTTGAGTATGGAAATTTATAGTATGTCTGTCTGACGATAAAAGGTTGCAACTTGAGTTTATTTCAATAACATTAATTAAGACAAAAACACTTTTATGTGTACACCCAAATGCTTTAACGTTTTATGTTGCGAATGCTATTTATAGGACATGAATGTCATAATATCAATTTGATTCATATCAACTTTTCCACTTTCTCATTATCATTTTAAGTTAATTCAGAGTTGCACCTATCAAATTGATTCAGAAGTATTTTCGCCCAGGATACCGGCTGGCAGTTCCTTCATTTGCCAACCCAAACTCAGCAAAGGAAAGCTTAGCTACGGGCGTCTTGGAGTGTTTTTCATGAGGAGCTTTTGAGCTGGCCAGTTAACCTATGCAACACCTCATTTGATGGGATCACACCTTACTTCAAAGAAGTTGGTCATGTTGATTTCTAAAAACATGCAAGTATATTAGAGATAGTCGTTTTAATCTATGGTTTAAATGTGGTAAAGTTATCCATGAAACTTTTCTAATAGCTTGACCACTGTAACCAAATCATGTTTGATGGATCACTATGAAAGAGGAGAATGGCATAAAGCAATGAGGTGTATTGGCATAAAGCAATGAGATGTATTCTTGCCATTGGTGCTTATTTGGGAACATCAAATCCTTTTGTGTTTGCCTAAAATCATTTTGGGATGCTTTTCTGGATGTAGTTTCTGACATTTGGAACAGGCTTTACTGCCTTTTGAAGAAGATTGCGAGCAACAAGTTCTGATTGACTTGGTTTCCTTAACAATATGTTGACTTGTACATAAAAAACTAATCAATTAGTTTAATTAGTAATCCAATATTGTCATTAATTTTGCTGGTGTGAGTAGGGGACTAGGGGTGGATCTGTGCAGTTTCGGACCTCCATGGTATTATATATTTATATGTGGCGAATTATTACTGAAATTAGGGGCCGGTTTCGATATAAAAGGATAAATAATATTAAAAAATGATTGATAGGCGCCAAGTAGGCAAGCGAATAATGGTTGTGGTAGAAGAGGGGTCCTTAGAGTGACCGGTCTTCTGGAGAAAGTAGCAAAACCAATATGATAATGGTTATAACTTATAATAGAGTGATCTACCATTTAAATTATAAAAATAAAGCAATATTATGTAAACCATAGGCCGTACACCTACTATCAGTCACTCTAAGAATAGATGATCTTTTTAACAAGGCTCTGGTGCTACCAAGCCAAAATGACATAATAGAGTCTTTTATTAAATAAGAGATGAACACGTAAGAACAAATCATAAAAAAAAATTGATATAATAGATGGCTATGAATCCTATGATACTTTGGTTGATTCGTTACATGTGAAAATTGCAAAGAGGATGAAGTTGTAAAACATACACACTTTTCATACAAACACTTACACACTCGTGTCTGTGAAGGGTATTTTTTGTCTGTATATAAATGCAACGTATGTGAAAATACCTTATGTCTGTATACAGACAAAGAAATACTCTTCACAAACACGAGTGTGCAAGTGTGTGTATGAAAAGTGTATAACAATACATTTTTTCTGTAAAACATTCCGAATGAGAGCAAAGTGTGGAAGTACATAAAATAGCTTTTGTTGAAATTGAGGTGGGGAGCTTAGCTTTTTTATTGAACATTTACGAACCGTCTTTTCTCTCATTCAACTTTTGCTTTTGAGTTTTGAAGAGTGAAAAGAAAACAGGCAAAACATAAATTAATGGCTTTTATTATAGAAATTCTAGTATATACAAAGTGAAGTGGAAAAAAATATAAATGTGAAGTGAAAAAACACAACCAGAAGGGATGATACCTGAACATTTTAATATCCTACATGTTTATGTCAAGTAAAGTCATGCTTAGAGGAGAAGGAGATGTGTTGGGGCATTAAATCTGTGGCTTGCATAGAATACGTTTTAGTCAAAGGGTGCAATTAGAGAAGAGGAACACAAGAAAAGACAAAAAAAAAACTAAAAAGTTTCAACAAAAACTGTTATAGGAGGTTGCGAGGCTGAATTAGTATGTTACTTACGTACATAATTAGTAACGTAACACTAATACAACAATGTACTTAATAGCACAACAATCTGGAAAAAATATCAATGAAGTGATTTATTGGAAAGAATATGATGATTGTGATTATATATGGTGAGAATCTGGAATAAAAACTCATGGAGCTAATAAAGTCTTCTCTCCTTGATTGGAAAGCAACAATAATAGGGTCATTGTGCCCCCAACCAAAAGTTTCCAGAGCACTTGCAAAAGCAATATCACCATCATATCCCTTCCCTGCAATTTTATTTTAAGACAAAAATGCTGAAAATGAATACAAGGACGTCAATCATGTAGCGAAAGTTACAGAAATAGGAATACATGGTGTAGAGCAGCTCTGAAACAAACCTGTAAACTATATGACTTCTACTCTAACTACTAAGATTCAGCACTTTCTTCCATGCTTTGCAGCTGTTTGTTATATAAAAAACGGTATAAGATGATACAGGGAAAATCAGAGTACTAAGTGTACAGTGTACCACACCCCAAAAAGAAAAAACCGTCAAGAAGTTGAATGACAATCAAGATGCTAACAAACATCAGAATGCACACATAAGAAATGTCATTTGAAAGGCAAAAAAAAAGGCATAACCCAATAACTCATAACAGAATGACAACATTATCCAAGTGATACTGAATAAGCGGTTTCTTGATCCTATAGAATGCTAGCCTTGTCAAAGCACTTTCGAGCTTCCTGCACTAACCGCACCCTTTAGTAAAATTACTATGAAATTTGTACTAAGAAAGCCTTAATCTTTTGGGATTAAGGCTTGGATGTTGTTATTGTTGTTGTTGTACAGTCTTCCCTGACTGTCAACTTAGACCAACAAGTATAGAAAACATAATTAAGATTAGCCAGTCACATTTACAAATAAACCGACCAAATATTTCATTCAATGATAAGCCACAGATGAAAACAAAGAATCATAAAGCACTTGAAAATTGAAACAATCAAAAGATAACATGGATAGTACTATACAGCCTGTAGAGAAAGTTTTTTAAAAATCGTTTTGGGGAACTCAAACACAAAATATAACCAGAAAAAGTATTAAAAGAACATTAGTACCTTGACATCATGCAAATCTATGTTAACAAATTGCAACAGTCGATCATTCAACAAGTGCTCAACCTGAAATGACAATATAGAAGAACATTATGTTTTAGTTACTCTCTCTTCTCAATGCCAATTCTGTCTAAGTAGGGCAAGAGGGGAGGGAAAAGAGACAAACATTCAAACTATTAACATGAAAAATGATATTAAAACACTAAAATGCCAATAAAAGCTATTGAAAATGCCACATGAAAAAGATTCTAAATACACTTAAAAGTTAAAAAAAAACTAAGGTATTTATGAATGGCATCTTCACTAAACTATGTCTTAATTCTTCAGCATTACAGATTTAAAGTAGAAGTTTAATCGTAGATTGACAATTTCTTAAGCAATGACTTGATTATTCATATTTATGAATGTACCTGAGACCTAAGAACTTCCTTGTATTTCCGATTTCCTTGAGCGCAATAGTGAATTTAGTCATAACAGGACCTGCAACAACAAATTAACTCATATCAATGCAAGTAGTGCTTGAATGGAACTCATTACATAAACTTTCAACAATATAATATTTATTGTAAGAAATTTCCCTAAATAGGAGTAAAAATGTTTTGGAATTCCAAAATATGAGCACTATGTTTTTATTACCTAAATAGGAGTAATCACTGCCATGTGTGGAAGAATTGTCAATTATGGCAGCATACTTCCATATTTAAGCCTTATAATGCCAAAACAAGGGAGTAAATTTTCAGGATGGCGGTGGTGTACTATTTAGGGGGCAAACATAGTACTCATATTTTGGAATTTTACATTATTTTAATTCCTATTTTGGGAATTTTTCCATTTATTATACGTAGTATTATTTATATAAGGGCCATATAGTGGATTCTATAGTAATACTCTTATTACAAAGGGCTTTTCAGGAAGCAAAAAAACTTTGATTTTCTTCGAGTGTGTGATATTCAAATTAGGACCTTTTTTAATGGACGGAAGGAGTATATAGTTGATACGAGTAATGCCTCATTCCAAATAAATCCCAACAGGGATTTCTCCCAAGTTTATAAAAGAAGGGGCAAAAAGGTTAAAGACCAGAGCAATTAAGGGGAAGCAGAAAATAACGGACTGGCTGAAGTTGAATAGTCAAGAGGGAAGGGTGCAGAGAATAAAAACAGACGGAAGAGGAGGGGGACGGGTATCTGGGAATTGATCGGAACTGGGAGAGCGAGATCCTCTCGAAAGATCTCATTTTATTTCACTGCTATTTTGTTCCTTCATCTTTCTTTGTTCCCAGACTTTGATTTCGAGTTTTATCAATAAATCTCATCCTTTAGAGTTGGAGTGTGTTGTTACTGCGTTCGAGAGTAGTGTTCTATCATTTGGTATCAGAGACAAGATCGTTGTACCTGTGCATGGTCTGGACAAGATAGAGAATGGAACAGCGTGTGGAAAGCATCGAATAATGAATGGACCCTAGCAGAGGTGAAAACGTCCGTGGACAAGCTGCTTGGCTTGCGCGTTACGGTGGATGAACTGAAGAATTTGTTGTTACACGGCGATCGCCATGGGAGAAGGGGACAATCGCGGGTGTCTAAACACCATCGCCGGGAAGAAAGCGTGAACTCCTCGCATCACAGAAGTAATTCTACCAGTTCTCAGGCCTCATCTATTCCAGAGGTTACTGTTAACAGGTGCACAGGAAGGAAAGTAGATTTACCTGTATTTAACGGGGAGGACGCACATGAGTGGATTATTAGAGTGGAGAGATTTTTCCGGTTGAATCAAGTGAAGGAAAATGAGAAAATTGAAATGGTGGTAGTAGCTATGGAGGACAGGGCATTAAACTGGTTTCCATGGTGGGAGGAAACCACGGTTTGTACTTGGGAAAATTTTAAAGAAGCGGTGGTTCGAAGATTCCAACCAGAGATGGTTCAAAACCCTTTAGTCCAATGCTTAGCCTGAAACAGACAGGGTCAGTTATGGAGTATCGGAACAAATTGTAATTGGTAGTAGGCCCCATTAGAACTACTGATAATGAAATGCTTAGAGGTATTTTCATAAATGCCTTGAAGGCTGATATCAAAGCGGAACTCAAACTATACCCAACTCATGGACCGGGCAATTTTATTGGAAGAAAAAAATGCAGCACAAAGGATAAGAAGTTTTGTGGAGGAAGATAAGCGAGGGTGGAAAGAAAGTGGGGGAACTAATTCCGGATATATATATCCTGGATTGGAGATAAAAACAACGGTCAGACAACCCGAGTACCATCAGATGAAAAAGTTGAAAGCAAAGGCAAAGGTGAAGCAACTCAGGCAAACAAGGAAAGACTGAGAGGTCAGCGGTTATCCGAGGCTGAACTGCAAGACAGAAGTAGTCGGGGTCTGTGTTTTAAATGCGGGGATAAGTGGAATAAAGAACATAAATGTACCATGAAGAATTACCACTTGGTGCTTATGGAAACACAGGAAGAGTCTGAGGAAGAGGAGGAATCAAAATCAGTTGAAGAAGAGGAGGCTCCAGAAAAAGAATTGAAATCTCTGCAACTAAACATTCAGAGCAAAGAAGGCATTATTCCAGTTGAGGGAACTTTCAAGATTAAAGGGCATGTGAAAGGACATGAGAAGGGTAAACCAATAATCATACTTATTGATTCAGGTGCAACTCACAACTTTATTTCCCAAAGGGTCTGTGCAACTCTAAAAAATGAAGTTCCAGGATGAAATTAAACTGAGCAACTCCGTATTTTTTAAGTTCCAGGATGAATAACTACTGCTATGATCATATTAATTTCACAAATGTAAATATCAACCCCAACCCAATGAGTAACCCAATTTTGAGCTCTATCATGGTAAATGAAAGCCATCTCCACCATTTGTTTCTCTTTGATATTAATATATTTTTAAGTGCATTGTGCAAATCTCTTGAAAAACAGCACACATGAGATCAACCTTAAAAAGTAAACAATAAATGGAACATATCACCCAAAAGATTCTCATATCAAAATTATAAATTGAGAAACTGTCCCAGATTTTCGACTGGACAGCAAAACAGAATTTTTATACATGAAATTAGAGATCAAAAGTGGGATGGCAAGGAGGGAGTAATACACAAAGAAGTACATGGTTACTTTTTGAAAAAATCTAGGCAGCCATTCTGAAAATCAATAATAGCAGCAACCAAAGCGGATGCGAGAGTAAGGCTGGAACAAGAAGGAAAATGGGTAAATTCAAGAAGAGGTAAATTAAACGAAGGAGCAAACAAAAACAATAAGCTCATATTAAAACTTGTTTATCAAATCCAAGACTTAAGAAATGATAGAAATTTAAAGAGTAAAAATAAAAGAGAAGCGTGCAGAAGGGATTTGGTCTGAGCGCTGAAGCTCACCCATAAGGCGATTGAATTGTAAAGTCGAACGAGACAGAAGATAAGGGCAACAGCTCAGAAAATAAAAGACTCTGGAGCCGGTTATCCGAAGATGGAGAGCCGCTTCGCCCTATCCTCAGTCGATTAGCCATTCTGAGGATGGGAACGGCAGAAGGGGAATAACGCGGTCCGGAATAGTGTAGGGATCAATTCAGCAATTTTGGAATTTTTGAAATGACGTGGAATATATTTAAGTATTTTCAATTCTTGAAAATACGTACGGCTATGATGAGGCGGCGTCCCAGAACTCCTCTTCTTCCTCGTCAGAGTCTTCATCTTCCAAGAAATCATCTAGCGCATCGTAAAAGACTTCTGCAAACAAAAACAAAAAAAGATCACATTTTTAAGAAAAAACACAGAAATAATGAAAGCAAGAATGCATACCCTCGCGGCTCTCGCTATCTTCAGGGTCCTCCTCCCTAAGCTTCAGCACTAAACAAGAAAAAAGCCTATGAATATACATTCCTGCAGCACTAAAAGAAAAAGAATTAGAAAAATAATACTATGGTATGTATACCTTTCGGTTTCGGTGTTATGATTACCACTGGCTTCACCAGTCCTACCCAGAATCTCCCAGGAGGACTTTGCTCTTGAATGTCATCGTCAATATCGTCGTTGTCCGCCAGTGTCGCCGTTAAACCCTCGTAAGAATTAGAGGTTGAAATTTTTCCCGCCGATTTGGGAATAAATTTCACTCTACGCATAGTCATGATAGCTGCTGCAATTGGGAGGGGACGGTTTAATTTTTTGTTTTTGCCGGTATTTGAACAAGAAGAATTGCGAGTTGAAATGAGCCCTGGTTCAAAATCCGGTTGAGACGCAACGGAACCAAATTTCAAGAAAATCTAAAAAGGGATCGGTTTTGATCCCGAACCGACCGGTTATCCGGTTCAAAACAGGAACAAAACAGGTAGAACCGGTTTTGCTTAGACTGTAATTTGCTGGTTTGATCTGTTTAAGTTTGATCTGGTCTGATTTGTTAAAATCCGGTCTAGTCTGGTAAATGTGTAGTCTCTTTGTATTTTTTAAGTACGTAATTCTGATCTGATTTGTTTAATTAAATCTAGTCTGTTCTGATCTGGCTTGTTTAAGTCTTGTCTGATCTGGGACTCAAAACGGTCAAAATAAGAACATCCTAAATTATTGATTAATTTACTAAAAATACAAATAATTTGTTCATTAAAAACAGGGGTATTGATCATCAAAAAACAGGGTATTTGTTACTAATAATACTACTATTAATATTATTACGGAGTATTATTTACTTACTAGTAGTATACCCGTACGATGCACGGGATATAATATTTTTGTATTTCTATATTTTATTTTACAATTAAAATATCAATCACATATAAATTGAAACGTGTATGGTATGTTAAACAATGAAATATATATGCGTTGTTATATTAAATTCAAACATAGAATGAGTTATTGATTACATGATAATTGAACTACATATATATATATATGTGTGTGTGTGTTCCTTTTGAACTATATGGTAGAAAATAGACATATGCCTCAAATTTCATTGAGAACAATTAAACACAAAATGAGTGTTTAATTGTTTTTATAAAACAAATATAAAAACAATAGAGCAAATATCGCAACAATAAGAGTGTAGAATAGTGAATATCAGTTAATTCTATCATGAAAAAAATAAGAATAAATAGATGAATAAAATAATTCGTAGAATAAAGAGTTTGGAACAGTTGCGTATCTACTGATATCGTTTTCTCTCTCTGTGGTTGTAGCAGGGCCAACCGCTAGTTCTTCCGTCCGCTATCGGCCTGTGTCGAGGAGTGAGGCTGGATTTTCCGGCCAATTGTTTTCTATCTGCGATTAGGAGTCAGAAGAAAGGGTGACGGAGGAGGCTGAGGAAGCTTGATTGGTCCGGACCGGCAGTTCGTGGACGTCTTTGACGGGCGAGCCAAGGAAACGAAGCAGCGGGCGGGGGAAAGACTACAAACAGGGGATCCGATCTGTTTTGGACAGAGGGAGATCGAGGCTGTATGTAAAAGTTTTTTAAGAAGAGGGCCATTAGAGAGGAAGTTGAAGAGTTGGTTCAAGATGAAATCGAATGCGAGGACTGGTCAGTTAAGGATCGTCCCCCTCCTGAACCACCGCAATTGGTGGTGATGGGGAAGATGGGACAGAAGATTTGTATTTTTGCTTTTATTTATTTGATTGTCTGATGTCTTTTGTTTACTTTCGGTATTTCATTTTATTCTGCTGTAAGACTGTAGGTGATGAAAGGAGTGCGGTAACCGTCTTTGGCTCAGTTGCGCCCATTAATGGATCAACGAGTTATATTGCTTCTGTCAAGGTGATCAGCTCTGAGTCTGATTCGAGGGTCGGCGGTTGTCGAGAATCTTTTTGTCAGATTACCCAGTATCTGAATGTATGATACGTTATCAATTTAAGCTTATTTCTTCCCAAAAAAATTGGACAATATGTAGTTATGTACTACATATTTAAAAAAATACTATTTACAATTTCTAAATTATTACTATTTTTATTATTCTATAACCAATTTATATTATAACTATTGATCCGCTTCAAACCATATTTACAATATTTGAAAACCGAAAACCGGACTGAATATCATTCTCGATTGGTTCGGTTCCAGTTCTTCTGGTCCGATCTGATTTTTTGGCTTGAACCGGTTTGTGCACATCACTACTATCGAGTACATAGTAGGGGTGTGTACGGTTCGGGTCGATCCGAATAACTGATAAATTTTCAATAACCGCCTGTTACATTTAACGAGAGGATTCGATTCGTGTATATCAAGTTTCAAAATAGAAACAAGACCTTACCGATTCTCGATTGTTTTTTAGATAATAAAAATGTCGTTATGCTAGCAAAGTATCTAATAAGTAAAAATGTTCTCAAACCAAATAAGTACCGATGTCGCAATAATACACTAAAAATTCAAAAAGAAAATGGTTGTAAAAATTAGTAATGTAGAGAATTAGACATAATCAATCATAAACTAAACGAATTTTGAATTAGTTAACAAAATATATAACCACAACTTTATAAATTAAATAGCACATAACCCCTCAAATTAAATAGCACCAAATTTTGTAATGTAGAGAATTAGAGTTATACGGTGTATAACTCTATTACAGTTATTAGAAGTCAACCTTCGAGATTTGATTGAAACACCGTATGCTTATAACTAGTACTCCCTCCGTCCCCTTTTAAATGTCCCGTTTTACCATATTGGGATGTCCCTATTTAAATGTCTCATACCTTATTTGGTAAAGTTTGTGTGGCTCAAAATCATTCCTACTTTATTCTTACTTTATCAATTAATATCAACCACACAAACCCACTTTTCTTAAAACTCGTGTCATCCTCCTCCGGGACATTTAAAAGGGGACGGAGGGAGTATGTGCTTCTTGTGAAAAAATATATTTTTGGAATACTTTTTTAAATTGTTATGTGTACACATAGTCTCCTGTAGAATAATTTTGTACAATTATTAGATAAAATGCCAAGGATCTAGTGGACTGCTGTGTTGGACTCATTAAGCGGTCTAAATCTGAATTTAAAACAATTAAGTATAATTTTATGACGGGTAATTCTATTTGCAGCCTTCAATTTGCTATTCACAACTACAAAATAACTCAAATGTCCAAATTATCCTTATTACTAGAAGTAGTACCCGTGCGATGCACGGGGTGTATCTAGAATAATGTATCCTAAACAGGGGTGGAGCAAGGATACTGGATCGAACTGTACCGATAAGAATATTTAAGAAAAATTTTACACAGATTTTTACACTAAAATATATAGATATTTTTAAAATTTATGGTGGACCGGGGCAAGGGTTGGTCTTCCCCTAGCTACTTCCCTGTATCTAGAATAGAATAAAAAGTTATTTAAAATTATATTCAACATTTTATTATGATGATATGTAATGTGTACTTGTATCAAATAAAAAGGCAATATAGTTTATATGTTCTAGCTTTGATTATATAATAACACCTGTAAGAAATTAATTTTTGGTTTGTACTAACAATTGCAACAAAAAGTAAAATAGATAATAAGGTATAACAATAAATTCCATTTGATAATGGAATTAATAAATGATGACACTTCAATCTTTGAGCCCCCAGAAGTGATAATGGAATTAATGATAGTACAATTATTAGTAGGTCTCATAAAACTATAAAGCAGAAGAATCATAAATTTTTATAGGATGTGTTTGGATCTATTTCTATAATTGTTTCTGCTCTCTAAGGGTACAAAAATGGTATCAGAGAACAGAAACAATTTTTGCAACTTAATCGATTTTTTGGGTGAAAGGGTATATAAGTACAGAAGTACTTCCAAGTAATCAACATTACTCATACAAACAATTTTTTAGAAGTTCAGGTCGGGAAAACCAGCTTTTGAAAAACTTATTCAATTTTACATCTTTTTTTTTAGAAAAGAAGCAAAGCAGAATGAATTCCAAACACATACAAAGAGTTATCATAAAGTATAAAAATATCTATAAACTTGTCTATACATCACATTATCAGTAGTGTTGATAACACGACTCCCGTCATCACATATTTAAGTCTTCAACTCACTTCTTGAGATGACCCTTCACATGTTAATGTGTAATTGATCGTGCCCTAAAGATTTTAAAATTTCAAAGGAAAACACCCTTAGTATTAACTTCAATTATATATGCAACGATCAGGGCCGTCTAGAGCAATTGTGAGGCCCTAGACAATCATATAGACGTTTTGTTTCTTAATACGTATAAATTCATAGAGCCGACAAACGATTTTATAATCAAGTCATTTGTTACTTTGTTCTTCTCTTTATACACCCTGAATCATGTTTTCGTTTTCCCGTCACCACAAAACCTACAGTTTCATTCAAAATAATACTACCCACGTCCTACTAATATTGAGACATGAGAAGGATGTGTGTTTATTAAAAAAGTGTGTTGATATGGTTGATATTGATTGAATTGATAAAGTAAGAAAAAGTAAGAATGACTTAAAACCACATAAATTTTTTCAAATTTGATTGAGAAATCTTAATAGGACGGACCAAAAAGAAAAGATTGGACAATCTTAGCGGAACAGACGAAATTATAAATAAGTAAATGCTTTGTAAATACAAATTTACTGCTCATCATAAATAAGATACTAAGATTATAAATATTCAATGTTTAATCAAACTCACATATCACAATTCAACTACATAAGAATTTTGCACACCTAAATGAGTAATTGAGTTGTTTGAGTAAATAAATAGATTTATGCATCGATAATTTATACTTGGTATAGCACTTACTGTAATACAATTGAATTCTTGTATACCTAGACCCTACTCCCTAGCCACTAACAATTGCAAAAAGAACTAAACAACTAAAGCTAAACGATGTACAATCTAACAAAAGTAATCCACTAATTAATGAAATGAACTAAATCAAATTGTTAGAAGAACTACAAGGCCTGAAGTTTAAAGGTCAAAGTGTTAAACTGCCATTTGTGGCTTGGGATGTGCGGTCTAATTGCTAATTGAATAATAATTAATTAATGGAAAAATCATTATTAATTTTCCTACTCGCCGCTTGCCAGATGCTACTCACCACCATTCCTACTCGTCTTGCATGTCCGACTTTTTCATACTGGAACTTATATTTAATTAGAAATCTGCAATTTAGATTAAATACACATATATATTAGTAATAGGCTTATTTTGAAAATTGGAGGCCCT